TCATCTACTGCATTCTCTTCTACTACTAATAGGTTAAGTCAACACATCTTATTAAATGCTTCAAAGATACACCAAAGCTAACATTATTAACTAACTTGCATTAAAGAGGATTATTTTATTTCATTTGAAACTAAGGCTACAACAGCAACCTATATTTTGATGCTTATAAAAATCTAAGAAAATTACAGTAGCATAGTACTACTCTAAGCATACTACCATAAAATTTTCAGGGCATTTGGATAAGTCACATAAAAATGACAAGCTCTAAAATGAGCTGAAATTCTTTGTACTATGAAAAGTGTCAAACAACAGATTTTATTTTTCATGTTCTTTATAGTATTTAATATATCAAAATTGTGCAAGTTTTATACAAAATTTGTTTATAACAAAAATCAGCATTAGATCTACTTGAACTACACCTCGATTTTAAGCACATTCTGAAACATATTTTTTGTCATGACATAAGAAGATTAACAAACTTGGAATCATATTTTTTCTGAAGCCTAAATCTCTAGTTATAACAGATTAATAAAATGTCCAATGACATGCATAAAAATTTGAGTCTGATGATAAAATGGCTATCAAAAGCAACTTTGGATGAAAATTTTTCAAACCATTTTGAACATGTAAATGTTTTAACACTTTTCAAATAATTGTTAAATAAATTTCTTCTATCTATCACAAAATAATTACCCTATTTCTAGATGCATCGTAGTTGATGTGAAATGTGTTGGCTTTCTAACATGCTTGGTTTTGCTGCTTAGTACATAGAGTAGCACTAAATTTAGTTTTGTGTTGTCTAGGCCATACCTTATGCTTCCTACAACCATGCAAGCTAGCATGATCTTTGTTGGTGTGTTGCATTTGGTCTTGCATCTACTCATCATAGATAAAGTCACCACATGCTCTATTTATTTATTTCCATTTTCAATAAATTTTCAAATAAAGTTTTCAAATATTATTTTGAGCAAGAAAATGACCTCTTTTGAAAATTTGTTGTGAGAATTTAATTCTACAACTTTGCTTTTATGAAAATATCTAGATATACAATCAAAGTTAAATTTTAACTCAAAACCCTAATTTTTGAGAATTATTTTTAAAGAAAAATTTGGCAATAATTCAAATGCAAACCTTGCTCCAAAAATTATGCTCAATTCTAGATGATTTACAATCATAACCAAACAAGTTCTACTAACCTAGCAAGCAAGAATGCCTAGTCGTTTCACAAACATGTTATTATGTTTTTTCAAGTAATGTTTGGATTATTATATGCAAGATTATGCATGCATGATTAGGATGCTTGATGATGCATGATATGCGTGATTTGCAGTGCCTAAATGCAGGCATAACACCGGGGTGTTACACAAGCAGCTAGGCTTTCCATGTTGATACTATAAAGTATAACGGTGCCATTTACTATTGAATTATGTTGATCAAATTAAACCCTACCCATGTTCACACTATGGAGCTCTGCAATAATGATATATGTCCATGTGATATATTGCATTCAAGTCCAGTTTTGGACTATGAACTAGAGCTATCGAACCAATCTCAAGCTATCTTAAACTCATCGCATGTAGTATTAGGTTAATCCGTAACAACAAACAGCATACAAGCCTCATCCATGTATATTGTCCACTATGTTTGAAAGATAGCTTTCTTTCATTTTATTCAGAACATATAAATGGCAAGCCAGCTCTAGACTAGTCAAGGAGCTAGAAAGAGGATAGCACTAGGCACAGCACGGGTCTGCTCTTACCTTCATGAGCAATGCGATCCAAAAATAATCCATCGAGACATAAAAGCCTCTAATGTGCTTCTTGATGAATATTTCGAAGCAATTGTGGGAGATTTTGGATTGGCAAAACTCTTGGATCACAGATAGTCTCATGTTACAATTGCAATACGTGGGACTATCGGACATATAGCACCAGAGTATCTGTCCACTGGCCAGTCATCAGAGAAGACTGATGTGTTTAAATTTGGGGTTCTATTAGTTGAGTTGATCACTGGTCAGAAGGTGTTGGATTTTGGAAGAGTTGTTGAAAGTGTATCTAGCCCTAAACTCTATATGGTGGCGTTTGGATAGTGGAAATGAGGGGAGGGAATGGGAAATGAAGGGAGGAAAATATCCTAACCCATGTTTGGATTATAGGTATGGGAAATAAGAAGGGTTAGCGATAGGGATATCCAAACCCAGCAAGAGGGGTGGGTTACGACGGGAAATCCACCATGCGCGAGAGACGCCGCGGCCACCGCTGCTTTGCCTCGGTGCATCTCGCTTTGCTGCTGGAGCCACACCTCCCTTTCCTGCTTGCCAGGGTCGCGCCGCCGCCGGAGCCGCACTATCTGGGTTGCCGGAGCCACACCATCCTTCACTGCGCGGGACATCGCAGCCCCACCTCGCCTAGCTGTGCGAGATGACAGAGCTGCAAGCTGCTGAGGTTTCAGATGCGCCGCGCCGCCAGAGCAGCAGCCGCTCGCCTCGGAGATGCCCGCCGCCGGAGCCACCGCTCAACTCTACCTTTGAGGCCGCTCGCCTCGGATGCGCTGGAGCAGGAGCAAGCCAAGGCCATTCGCATGCTGCCAGCGTTGGATGCCTGTCTTCTGTCAGATGAGCACATGGAGACCGAGAACCATCGGGCAATTTTTTTATTAGCAAAGTAGCGAGTGAGTCCCACATAGAGCTGCTATCCCAAACAAGGGACAGGAGATTAACCAGACCATAACCCAGTCCACCGTAACCCACCAATTTCCCTATCCCTTTCCCAAATTGTATCCAAACGCCACCTAAACTCATACAGGCTATTCGATGATTGGTTTCTGGGCTGATAAGTCCAGCTGGTGCTGATTTGCTATAAGAGAAAAATATTGTTGGCTGGCTGAAACCAACAAACGAACAAGCTGATAGTCCGTGGATACTATGTGTATATATGGCATGTTCGGTTTATGACTTAGGTGTGCCAAACTAAACCTTGGTCATGGCCAAATTAAGGCAATGACAAAATTAGACTAAAAATGATGTTTGGTTTGTGATGGAGCTAAAACTCGGGCAATACTAAAATATGGAGTGTTGAAGAATATTTTGGAGTCATGCCAAATTTTGTTGTAGTTGTGGGTATGAACATGTAAGGTTCATATGTCATTGGTTTATTCTTCAATGAAACATGGCCATGTGCGATTTTGTTTTCTAGATAAAATCACAAGGAATGTGGTGATAACAACGAGTTACAAATAAGATATATAGTTAGGCAGATATTAACATTCGAAGCTTCAGTTATCTAAAAGTTTTGAAGCAATGTGCCAAATTCAGCCGTGTGAATTCTTGAGCAGGAGTTGGGCCAACTTTGACTGTTGACGGTATGATAATTTTATACTGGTCAGATAAACTTGATCCCTTCTGCTAAAAAAAAGATAAACTTGAGCCCTGGAACTAAACAAGGGATAGACAAGAAGGAATAGATTTGTAAGACAGGTCAAGTTTTTGTTTGTCTTCCTGGGGCCTAAAACCAAATAGCCCCGTAGTATGTGAATAGCAGTCTAGCACAGCGTTCCATTCCATCAACAAAATGTAGTAGCACAGCACGTGCTGTCTGTCTCTGTAGATGAGCGAGAGGGAACTATGATATGATGCCGCCCCGCGTGCCAGTCGTCGGTGCAGCAGCGCTGTTGCAACTTGCAACAGCAAAGCGAGCTGGCAGCTGCAGGTAGTGATCAAAATGCAGTAGAGACTAGAGACTGTGTCCGTGGCGAGTTGTAAAAAAGGGTGATGGCGATGGAACCGGTCGATGGCGAGTGTTGGCTACTGCTGGTTGCCGGATGCTTCTCCATGGGCCATGGCGTCGCACTCGCACCAACTGTTTGGTCGATGCGTCTCCTCGCATGCATGCATGCAAAAGGCAGGAGCTCCGATCTCTTCGCGCGCCTTTTCTCCCCTGTCGTGATGATCTGATGCCTCACTTGCAATGCTCCAAGCGGATAGCCGGATACAGTTTTGGCTGGGAGGCCTGGTCCGGGCAAGGCAAATTGAGCAGCGGATCTTCAGCGATCCCGATAATGGCAGACGACCAAAAAGGTCCACCGTGTTTGAGAGGGAAAGGGGGCGCGAGCCGGGGCGTTTGTCGCTCTTGCCTTGGGAAGGAAACCCCTGTGTCGCGCGCTGACAGCAGGGTACGTGCGAGACGTCCGCGGGATATGACAAGGTCCTGCGCGTCCTTCCTGCGTGCGCCTCACATGACACACATGCCATGGGAGGACGGGCATCCATCCGGACACGGACCGGGTCGCGGCATGGGATGGCATGGCAATGGCATACGAGCCTTGGCGATGTGCGGCAGCGGCTGGAGGCGGTCAAGCAAGCAGCCGCACATGCATTGATGCATGCCCTTGTCGTGGACTCCCATCCGGCCCCTTGGCATCGCCGTACGCCGCACGGAGACACGGACGGGGGCGCCGGACCACGGCGTGCCGCGGGTTGGACAAGGCCGACAGGCAAGCGAACAAACAGGGACGGGGACGTGTGCATCGACGCGACGCCCGCCGGCAGGCAGGCGACGGACGGAGGGGCTCACCGGCTCACTCATTGCGCCTTTCTTTGTCCGCCGCCCACGTCAAATCGAGTCGTGCCCCCTCCTTCTTCTCGTCGTCGCCTTCCTCCCGTTGCGCTGCTCGCGTCGTCCCGTCGCATCATTGCCGATTATATTACAGCGCCACCACCACACGCCATTCTTCTTCGGGGACACACGCACAGCGCGCCCACTCCATTCCTGCATGCCTTGCCCCCTCCACCTCCACTCCCTCTCTCTCTCTCACTCACTCGCAGCCCTGCCTGCCTACTGCCGTTATCTATCTCCTCGCCCGCCCGTGTCAGCGCAGCGCGCGTCGTGTCAGCTGTCACCGGCCGGTCGTGTCGTCCACGCTCTTGCCAGGCCGGGCTGGCGGCTGGCGGCTGGCGGCTGGTGGCTGACCAGGCGAGCGAGATCGATCTCCTCCGTCTAGATATGAGCGCCGCCAGGTGCATCAAGCTCGCGCTGCTGCTGTCGTTCATCCCGCTGGCGCTCAGGGCGACCTCGCTCCTCCTCGGCGGCCACGCCGTGCCGGCAACGGCATCGTCTCGCCACTCCTGGACCGCCCGGCACCTGCGGAGCAGCGGAACCGCGACCGTCGTCTCGGCCGGGCCAGCGCGCGACCGTGTCCGGCCGTATCGCCACGCGACGCACCGGCGGCGGACCGGGACCACCGCCTCTGACGGCGGCACGAGGCGGCTCCGGCAGGCCGACGGCGGCCGCGACTGGTTCGAGGACGACAAGAGGCTGGCGCCCACGGGGTCCAACCCGCTGCACAACCTGCGGTGACGGCGGGCGGGCGGGGATGGACGGACGGACGCCGCCGGCCCGCCACGCCGGCTAGTTGGCTGCTGCCGTCGCTTCGTTCCCGGCTCGTGATCGAATCTTTCAGGTCGGCACGCAAAATGGCGACGAGAATTTGCTCCTGGTAATCTCAGTCCGCGATTTCTTGAATCGGCTAGCAGCGTGCTACACGTACGTACGTGCTACATACTTCCTTCGAGTTTGTCAATGTACATAGGATTTGAATACTTGAATTGAATTTGTGTGACTTGTGAAACAAATACTTGCGCACGGCACGGCATGTTTGCAGTTTGCCTGCACTTCCTTCAAATAACCTGCGTGTATCCAGGATTAGGTACACTATGGAAATTGTCAAATCCTCATGGGTTAAAATGTTAACAGCAGCTGAGCACTAGCTGAATACTCGAGCTATGATCTCAGAGGGCGTAAGTTCGCACGAAGACATTAGAACTGGTCACCTCTGAATTTCGCACATAATTTGCTAGAAAGAAAATAAAGAAAGAATAGTATCAGACGCTCACTTGAGGCCATAATTAACTAACTCGAGTGCTTAGACGTACTGTACATGCCACAATCACAGGCTGGGAAGCTACACAGTGGACTTGACTATTCAGGGTTTACTACGGCACAGTCGCACAGAGGAGTCCACAGAGACCGTACGCGGACAGGACAGACTCCCTTTGGTGCTTTATGCATTGCACACTTCTCTTTTTTCTCCCCCACAAAAAGAAAAGAATAGGAACAGAAACAGAGGAAACCTTTACTGTAGTCTGTAGCTATAGCGGTACCAGTCTACCAGTGAAGAAATTAGACAAGGATCTTTCAATCTTTTTGATATTTCAAAAAGAAATTATACCAGGAACAGAGCGCAGGCATCCCTGGAGTACAGCCTAGATTCTGCAAAATTTAGCAGCCTCTCCTGCAATGATGGTGTCGCCGAATCATCCCGGCACGGCACGCCGAAAACCAACTGATGTGAAGGCAGAGACAAGCGCCGCAGTACAACACTGACCACAGATCTAATAATCCGATAAGAATCCAACCTGGAATTAGGGAAGTAATTTTTTTAATCCCCCTCAAGAGCAAAACAGACCATAGAAACTAACCGTCGTCGTTATTATCTGATTGTGCATTACATGCTAACACGAAAGGTAGTAAAACTGTAAAAGTAGCGGGACAATAAGTAACACACTGTCAACCGTTGACATGATGATCAGAGCTGACAAAGCAGACCCCTAAAGTCCTGATCATCAGAACACCACAAACAATCTGAAAAATAATGTTTACTGATTTGTTGTAAAAGAAAAACACTTTACCATGACGTTCAAGCCAACAAGGCCAATAAACTAAAACGACACATATGATGCGAGACAACACAACAGGCACAGTGATCGTGAAGCAGTGTACGGTGTACCGTCGTCAGTCTCGGTGGTCAGCACCGGGCGGGCGGCTCGTCGCCGGCGACGACGGTGATCTTGCCCTGGTCGAGCAGGCTGTAGAACTCGCGGGTGCGGCGGCGGTTGCTCCAGTGGTGGAGCTTCCACAAGTAACCCGCCAAGAGGCCCAGGCTCATGCCGTACACGATCTCCCTCAGCACGCTCGGCGGCCGCCGCCGCCTTCCCCTGGCCGTCGCGGCGGCGTGCGTGGCCACCTTGTGCGCCGTCGTCGACATGGCTGCTGCTTGCTCTTGCTGGCCTCTGTGGGCCACGACGCACGCACAGACGGTGAGAGTGACACGAGCTCACGCGATCGAGGTGCAGACGTGCAATTGCGTTTGGGGTATTTCAAAGTGGTGAGAAGCTAGAGGGAAAGCAGCATGCAGCAGCGCGCCGTGTCAGCTGAGAAAGTAAGCACGTGTGGCGGAGCCGCGTCACCGCCACGCGTGTCGGCTCGGCTCCACGCGGCAATGGCATGCATGACGCCGCTGACCACGCACGTGACAAGCGGCTTGCCTTTCGGTCGGTGCGTTCAGCTTGTACTGGGTTTCAGGTGCTCGATCTGTGACCTCTTTGCGTCCATGATTCGATTCAGTCCTATTTTTGCCCAATTACCCATGCGTCTTAAGAGAAACACACATTTTTCTCTTCAAGCAATCAACTTTTTAAGTTTTACTAGATTTATAAATCACAATGTAACCTTAAATATGTTTGTTATAAAAAATACATTTTATTATTAATCTAAAAGAATTTAAGTAATAAACTTATTAATATCAGTATATCATAGGAGTATATAATAAAAAATTGGACTTCTCGAAGAGAAGAGGGATACGTGTTCTTTCTAGGGAGGGTACTCAGTTTAGTGGAGCTACTCCCTCTCAGCCTGGGCACTTTTTGACCGAAAATCGAGAACCGAGCCGAACCGAACCGAACCGAACTGAAATCTCGGTTTTTTTTGTTTTCGGTTTCGGCTTTGGTTCTTTCTTTCTGTAGCTTCGGTTTTTGGCTTCGGCTTCGGTTTTAGGAGCAGGAAAACCGACGAACCGAGAAAACCGAACAGACCCCGCAGAGTCGCTCGTCCGCGCGTTCACCCCCACATCGTCACATCCCCACCCAGTCCGGCCCACATCAACATCGGCCCAAACCAGAGATGCTCCCGCACGGCCTCACCTCAGCCGGTCAGCCCCCCACCCCCACTAGACTCGACATCCCGTGAGCCAGTGACCCCAAAACCTAATCCTATCGCGAGCTTGCGGCTGCGCGAGCGGGGCCAAGGGTTGCGGCGGAGCGGGCAGGAGGCGGGGTCGCGAGCGTGAGGCGGCGGCGGGGTCGCGATGGCGGCGGCATGACCGCGACCGTGAGGCGGGCTTGCGGCTTCGGCGACGGGAGCGACGAATGGCGGCGTAAGACGCGCGAGGGCGGCGGAAAGCCAAGCCAGCGCCTCCCTCAGCGTGGCGTGGCGGGCGCAAGCGACGAAAGCAATTGGCAGACAGGCTCTGCGCCAAGCCGCACCCTCGTTCTTCCCCATTCTTCCCCAATCTGGTGTTTCTCTTTGATTTTTTCCTTCTCTGTGCAAAGGATCGGTTGATTCGGTTGAACCGAAAAACCGAACCGAGAAAACCGAAGCCGAACTCGTCGGTTCTTGGTTCTGCAGAACACCGATCGGTTCCTGATATCTGGAAACCGAATTTCGCAGCAACCGAACAAACCGAACCGAATTGTCGGTTAAAACCGAATGCCCAGGCCGAACTCCCTCCGTCCCAGTGACAGAAGTCAAATCTTTTTAACTTTGAATATATAAAAGAATATTAATATTTATAATATATCATTAATATTATTAAATAAATCATGAAATGTATTTTTATAATAAATTAATTTAGTGATACAAATATTATTAATATTTTTTTTATAAAACTAGTTAAATTTAAAAAACTTTGACCAACACGTATTTAATAATATCATTTTTTTAGGACGACCGGAGCACGCATTCCGTAACATTATTCTGTTTTTTTTTGGACGGACTGAGTATAGCTGAAGAGTAGCTGCAGATCTATCGTGAACTGTCCAACTCCAACATGCGCAGGGCTCGACGAGACGACGACCACCTGAAACCGAAATGTCGCCATCTTGTTCTCGTCCGTCATCTTGCACCGTTGGCGTCGCGACGCGATCTGACTTGCAGTCCATATATTCTGTGCTGGAGGGGCCTATGGGCTATGGCCCCCGGTGCCAGAGGTTCTGGTTTTGACATGGAGAGCACGCAGTTGCATGATTGCGTCCGGTCCGGGCCTCTGAACTGACGCTGCAGTGAGGACGGCCAAACCTCAAGAGTCACCACGGCACCACCACAGTATTCAGCATACGTCTGAATCTCAGCTTGACAGGCAACACTTCACCGTCGGTGCCTCCGGTGTCCGTCCTGTCCAGTTTGGGTTTGGAGTTCAGCGAAATGTAACCAAAGGGTAAAGTACATTTTTCAACCTCCAACTCACATTAAAGTTCGATTTTCAACCTTCAACTATGAAACCGGATAACAGACACCCTCCAATTATAAAAAACGGACAAATTTGGTCATCGGCTGGTTTCAATAACGGTTTTCTATTTTTAATAATAATAAAAATCAGGTTTGATCTCTAGAAGTTCGTTTTTTTTTTTGAAATTATAGAAATATGAAACTAGTTCATGTTTTCTTCTAAAAATGTTATATATATGTTGATGCTATATTTAAAATTGTTTAGACCTTACTTGTTTTAAATAGATAACAAGCGTGACAACAAGCAATAAAGCAATAGGAACATAAATAAACCAATTCCAAATACCTATATATAGACCATAAACAAGTAGAGAACATTTTTAGAAAAAAAAGTACTAGTTTCATATTTTTCTGATCTAAAATAAATGACAGCGCAGGGGATAGCAATGCTACTGTATACATTAATATAGGGATTGGCGCTCGCGGCCGGCTTCTCGAGTTGTTTTTGGCCAAAAGCAAGGTGGTGCGCGAAGGCAGCGAACTGTCATGTAAAAGAATAGAAAGCGAACAATTTAATTCCGTGCGAAATTAAATTCCGTGCGAAATTTAATTCCATGCGAAATTAAAAACAATTTTAAATATAGCATCAACATATATATAACATCTTTAGAAGAAAACATGAACTAATTTCATATTTTTATAATTTAAATAAATTAATTACGAACTTCTAGAGATCAAACCGGATTTTTATTATTAGAAAATAGAAAACCGCTTTTGAAACCAGACGAGGACCAAATTTGTCTGGTTTTGTTTACTGGTGGGTGTTTGTTATCCGGTTTCATAGTTGAAGGTTGAAAATCGAACTTCAATGCGAGTTGGAGGTTGAAAAATGTACTTTACCCAAAAAAAAATACTTGTCCATGAGTTCTATTGGAATTTATGTGCTGAACAGATGCAGGCAAATTATAGCTGGTAAATGGGATCTAGAATTCCAAATAGGACAGACTCACAGACATGCATGTGATTAAGTAATACTAAAAATCCTTTTTTATTCTCAACATTATCTCTTTCACTTAACATGCAAGTAAATGAAGGTTATTTTTAGCTATCCCATAACAAATTGCTGCCTTGAACAATATTTGGTGACCTGACAGATGAGATCCAATCTGTACATACACCACATACAGTGGCCTGCATTTAGGTCCCATACGCTCATGATAGTGCAATTGTAGTGAAGATGGTGCTCCAGCCTTCCAGGTAGCAGATCTGTGTCTTGGGAACTTTAAAATCTGTGGAAGACAACTGTTAGATGGTGTTAAAAATAATTTATAGTGTCAATATTGATTTGAACCCTATAGAGCACAATGCACAAACTTAGAAAACAAACAAAATTTGTTTCACCTTAATTTTAGGTGAAACACATTTTTTCTGAATATCACTTTTTTTTATCATTTTCCAAAGTTATATATGGCGAAAGTATTTTTCTTGGTGAATTCCTATGCCACTCCCAATCCAAACCCATGGACCAATGCGCAATCTCTGCACACAAAAGGCAGCTGCCTAAAGCTGTAACTTTACAGGCAAAATGCAATTGTCAACTATATATATACATTGTCTAAACCATCCAAACAATGCTATAATAAGGGCATTTGCTGCCTGAACTTTAGCTCCAGAGTCATTCCATATCAGAAGAGAAAACATATTGAACAATAACCTTCTTCTTCTATCCGTTTTAACCTTTAAGCCCGTCAGTTCGCCTCCAGCATCTAATTATATGGTCAGCTATCAGGGGAACACACATTCTTTACTTTGATGACTCTCCTCACCAGCATCATAAAAGTTTCAGCAGAGGGGACAAGCTTCTCATTCTCGGTCACCATCATATCATACAACCAAAGTGCCCTCTTAGCATTGCGCTTCTCACAGTAACCGCTGATAAGCATATCATACAAGTCACTAGTCGGAGCCACTGTTTTCTTCTTCATCACAGCAAATAACTTCTCAGCTTCCTTCAAATTTCCACACTGGCAAAGGCCCTTGATCAAGGCGGTAAAAACCTCAACACCAGGATCAAGCCTTCTGTGCTCCATCTCATGGTAGATGCTGACAATACCTTGAGCATCGCCAGCCTTGCCATATCCATTAATAAGGTTCAAGTATGTATCCGGATCAGGAAGAAGTCCTTTGTCCATCATTGCCGTCAGCAGGTCGTTCGCCCTGCGAGCCTCTCCTGCATTGCAGAGTCCCTCTAACATCTCATTGCAGCTGCCAATGTCCAGCACAAAACCTTCCTCGTGCATGTTGTCAAAATAGGCCAAGCCTTCCTTTATCATCCCTTGTCTGAAACAACCAGCAATGAGATGGTTGTACGTAGCATCATACGGCTTTGCTCCCATGGATAACATTTCTTGAAGCAACTGGGCAGCCATGTCCATACTGCCTTCGCAGCAATGCGCTCTGATGAGGCAAGTGTACATGAATGCATTGAGGCGACGACCACGACGAACCATGTCATCACATTGCTCGAGTGCCGACTTGAGATCACCAATATGGCAGTAGGCATGCACGATCAGTGAGTAAGCAATATCATCGAGGAGAATGTTCCTCTGCAGCATCCTCTTCAGCAGCAATATCACCTGCTCCACCCTCTCTTCCTCGATCATCCTCAACGTGAGTGCAACGTGCGCCACAATGCCAGGCGCACACTTCTTACCGTGGATCCTCTCCACTAACGCCACGGTCCGGGCGAGCTTGCCTTCCCGGCTCAGGACGCCGATGACAAGCTCGACGGTGCTCTGGTTGGCATACAGCCGCTTCAGCGTCATAAGCTCGAACACCTCCCATGAGACACCGAACGACCCAGCGCGCTGCGCCGCGTGCAGTGCGGCGTTGAAGGCGGAGAGTGAGGGCAGCACGCCGCGCCGCGCGAGGTAGCGGCAGGCCTCGAGGGCCTCCCCCGGGAGGCGCAGCCGCGCGTAGGCGTGCACCAGGAGGTGTAGGCCCCGGGTCGTGGCGGCCGTGCCGCTGTCCTCGTAGGCGGCGAAGAAGGCGTCGAGGAAGCACGAGGCGGGGGACGAAGACGACAAGTGCCTGGAGATGGCTGACTCGAGGAGGACGGAGGCGTCGCGGAAGAGCGCGGCGCGGGAGAGGAGGTGGACGAGGAGGCAGTAGGACCGGAGCGAGTGAGAGGACGACGGCGGCGGGGAAGAGGAGGAAGCGGCTGCTGCGGCGGCGGTGGACCAGTGGAAGAAGGTGAGGGCGTTCTTGGCAACGGGCTCGGGGGAGGCGTGGGGGTGCCTGGCAAGGGAGAGGAGAACGGCATCGACGTGGCCGTGGGACACCGCGTCGGCAGGGAAGGCGGCGGAGAGCGCCTCCCATGTCGCCCGCGGCTGGTGCGCCAGGTAGTGGGAGATGTGTTGAGGCGTCGTAGGTGTGGTGGCCGTGGACAGCGCTGAAGCGGGCGTGCGACCGAGGAGACCGCCGCCGCGCCGCGCGACCACGCGGCCGCTGGCGTTCACGGCCATGTAAATGAGAAGCGTTGCAAGCTGCGCGACCCGCGCTGATCAGCCGCCGGGGTGACCCACGCCGCGAGCCCACGTTGTGGCAACCTCACCCTGTCCCCAAGCATCGTTGCGGCAGTTCAGACCTCTGAAGTCTTTTTTCTCTGTCACTGCAACTAAAACATTCATAACTATTCCGTCCACAGAGTGCGACACCAAAACCGCTCGCTCCGATACATCCTCGGGTGCGATCCCGCGGCTTCCTCGCTCCTCCCCTCCCCCTCACCCGACGCGCGCCATCAATTACGCACCCGTGCGATCCTTGTCCACCCTCTCGTGACTCCGTCTCTCCCCCGCACGCGCGACTCCTCTCCCGCGACGTGCGCCAGGACATGAGGCCGCCAGGGCTCCGGCCACCGGCCATCCGCAGCAGCAGGAGGCGCATCAGGTGCCGCAGTCGTCCAAGGCCCCGGTCTCCGAGGAGATCGCATCCGGCCGGGCCTCGGTCTCGCAGCGGCCGTGTGCACAAGACGATGTCGAGGGCGCGCTGACGCGTGCGCGGGAAGGGAGCCTCCTGGCAGCGGCGGCGCAGCATCGCTGATGCCAGAGCAGGTACTAATCGTGAATTTATGCCTCAATTTGGGATTTAGGGTTCCAAATTTGGAGAAAAAAGTTTTGATGAGCAAATTAGGGTTTCGGGAGTCCTGCTCGCCGCCCCGGCCTAGGCCTTGCAGCGGGGACCCTCGTCAGGTCACGCGGAGCCGCGCTCGTTGGCCCGTCCCATGCCGCGCATCGGCGCCCTCGCCGGATCTCTGTACTCCTCGTCGCCACCTGCTGGTTCTTTCTTCTCCTTTCCCTGAGCCAGTCGATGATAATCTATACCTTGCGACCATCTGGGAAGTGTTGAATCTTGTATTCCTGCAGGTGCTTAAACTATGGTTAAAATGGGCATCCTTTTTCCTACTGGAGAAGTTTGAAAAGAAGAATAAAAAACTTGCTGCAATCGGTAATGTTGTGTGACCTACCAATATGAAAAGAACAAGTTCATGGTTTATTCTATCAATTTTATTATGTTGACTCGAATTAATTTTGCGGGAGAGGATCTTTTGGCGATTGATGCTGACCAACCATTTGTGGTCAGAGCATTCTCAAGTTTCATTGTCTAATAGTTTACATGTTTATTATAAGGAAATTGTTATTATGCTATCAATTTACTCATGATTTTCCCCTTTTATGCAGTTCGAGATTGTATTGTTCAAGGCCTTGATCCTAGGTTTGAAATTTCTACAGAGATTGCTAAGTCGTGAGTACTTCCAGCATTACTTAGCATCTCAATACTTATTAGCCCTCTAATTATTTTGACACTGATTTGAAAAAAGGGTTGGTTTTTACCCATCATTTAATTATTGGAGGTGTTTCTGCTGGCTTTGCTTGCAAATATATGCTTTTGTGCTCAAATGTTATTTCTGAATGTTTTATTGCTAAGTTGATTTTTTACTATTAGGATGGGAGCATTAACTGTACCTGATTAATACAATTACGTTGTTACCAAGCGCAGTTGGCGTCACTTCCAACAAGCATTCTATAGGACGAAGGAATCTGTTAGTTTTATGTGATACAACTGATGCTGAAAATTTGGAACCTCAGGTGGCCTCTAGCATCCCCTGATCCGCAGGTAGAGTTCTTGGCTAAATTTGGACTGAATAAATAATGTGAGCACTCCTTTCCCCCCCTCTGTCCTGTGACATTGTGCTGCAGTTTGTGCTGGTGCTAACAGAAACCGAAAAATTTGCGTCTTTAGGTTACTGCAGTTGAGGCGGTCGAAGTGGTGGCGCGATGGGCATCTCGGCGAAGTGGCTCAGGTCATTAGTTGCGTTGAGGAAGGTGGAGCGGCAGCAGCGGCATCGTAAGGAGGATGCAGATGTTGGAGTTGGACCTGGACGAATGGTACGCGCAGGGTTTCTTCCGATCATTATGAAGTTCTTGCATATCTTGTTCTTAAATTCGTGGTTGGTGCATTCATTTTGCTTATTGCCAAGACCTATATGGATTATGTAAGAATCATTTTTCTTATGATCGTTCTGTCGGGAATTAGTAGGGTTTCTCTTTAGGGGTTTGGGCTTTCCCTTATCAGGTTGATGAGCGTAGTATTGTTCTTTTGTTACTGGTTCAACATTTAGTAAGATGCCTGCAACATAATGGCCAGGGCTTTTTCTTTTTCTCTGTGCTGCGAGTTTTTGTTTTGGATAGCACTATTGATCTATGCAAAAGGAACAAAAAAGTTAGCATGTACTTTCTGGCCAAGTTCTAGACCATCTATGTAAATACTGAGTTGCTGAAAAAAGATTGAAAACTTAAATACTGAGTTTCTGAACAATATACAATAGTTCTAGACCATCTATATAAATGGTTGGTGTTAACTAACAACCATACTTTACCTTTCTATGCAACAAATTTCTTGAAAAAAATGATACATAGAACTATATAAATCATGATATAATAAGTTGTCTCATCTGCACTATGCATTATATCATAATATTTTCCACTTCTTTTGGTACTCAGGAAGCACATCCAGAATCTAACAAAAGAGTTCTTGCGATAGTTGATGCTCTTGAGAAATTGGAGCTTAGTCCCGAGGTATACCGGCAATACTACTTCGAATATTCACAACTATTTTTTGGAACTTTATCTTAAAAAAACACCTTTATTTTTTTATTTTACCTTTTATTTGAAACCATGCTAAAATTGAATCATATAAAAAGAAATAGGATGTGCAATCAACTTGAGGACATTGTCTTATCTCACTATGTTTCAATAGTTCCTTCTGCTTTTAGTCAAACCTTCTAGGGCTTTGGCATGTTTCTTTCTTATACCGTGTACAATTGCATTTCACTAGAAAAGAAAGAGTACTCATAAGTTAAATGTCATCTCATTTGTTTAGTTTTCAGCATCGTGGTTCACAGGTTCTTGAAATTCAAAATTTCAACTCTACTTCCCTAGATGATGTTGCACGTGTTCATTCAAGATCTTACATCACTGGACTCGAAAATGTACCTGTCATCACGCTGTCCTTATTTATTCTTACTTTTCTGATAAGAAGTTGCTTTTCTCTACCGGTGAAAACCTATTAGATAGGTTTGAAATAATGCTGCAATTTCCTTAATATGTGGCAGCATGTGGCTACAGGCTATGGGTAGATGAAGGTATGATATTTATTGAAGGGACTGATGCCCTTTTTATTTTTACATGCTTCTGATGTTAATTGTGCATGCCCTCTCCTATGTCGTGCCAGTATTAATTTGGTTAGAACTTGAAAATAGACAGAGTATTACTCGGCATGCTTACAACTGATAGTATTATATATGAGTTATTTCTTATTTGGCAGTTATCACGAGAAGTATGAACTAGTGATTTATTCAGGCACCTTATGATTTTGATGTTACTGATAACTGCAAAAATTCTAATCCATAAATTTAACACTGAAGAATACTTTAATGAAGTCTGAACTGGCGCCAAGGCACCACCCAAATTCTTTCACAAACTTTGTCTTTTTGATTAAATGTCACTTTAACGTTGGTATTTAATTTCAGATATTGTTATCTTATCGTACAATCTATGTGTTTTTAGTACAAAAATTTAGCTGTTCCGTAGCAACGCACGGGCACAAACCTAGTTAAAAAGGAAATATATTAATATCCAGCTTCTGTATCGACCAATGCATATAGTTGTTTCTTATTACAAACACAAACACTGTGGTCCACGTAATCTCAAACACAAAGTTTTGATCCAAAGTGAATAAAACACAAGTTTTCAAATTCGGCATCTATAGAGCAATTCTATTACTAAATCTCCAACCGTGTCTTGCAAACACCTGCATCGCGGTTGTCTCAATATTCCTGCATCCCATCTTCATCATTTAGCGATCCTTCTCCTTCTGAAATAGGGACAAAGACCTGGTCCAGTAGGTCCCCCTGAAGATAACCTGCAAATAAGATGGTGTTGCAGCCTTGTCAAAAATTATATTGTTCCAGGTTAACCAAATCGCCCAACAAATTGCAATTGCACCCATAAGAATCTTAGATTTCAGTTTCCTATTTACCCCGTCTAACCAGCCTGTAAACAACTTGTGAACGCTAGTTGGAGGTATTAAATTAAAGAAAACATGAAGAGTTTGTCACACAAATTTAGCAAAATGACAGTCGAAAAGAATAGATGTGGTATAGACTCGTCATAAGAATAGAAACAACTCTATCTTATCTCCTTGCCACTACCGCCTTACTAATTTGTCCTTTATTAAGATTACTCCCTTATACAAGTATCACAAAAATACTTTGATTTTGAGAGGTATTTTCAATTTCCAAATAAAAGTTTTATAAGGTGCAGCTTCTGCTGTCAATAAGGCCCTGTACATGGATTTAACCGAAAATAATCCATTCTGATGTAGCCCCCACACAAAGCGATCCCTTTGGTTTGTTAATTGTACATTGACCACCATTACAACCATGTTGTGCCATGCTTGTAAATTAACCTCTACCAGAGATCTCTTGAAGGCTACATTTAACGGTGCCGTGGATAGCACCGTTCTTACAGAAGCACTTTTTCCTAACAATGTTATATAGTGCAGGAAAGAAAGATTTTAGTGGACACGATCTTATCCACGAGTCCTCCCAAAATCGCACCTGAGACCCGTCACCTAGATCAAACTTGCCTAGCGAGAGAAACTCCCCCTTGATCTTCATGAGGCCAGCCCAAAACTGAGAATTTCCGGGCATATATTAAACCTGTGTCAAAGTTTTGTCCCTTAGATATTTATTCTTAAGTATTTGTTGCCATACCACATATCCATTAATCAGCTTAAAAAGCCATTTGCTTAGGAGACATTTGTTGTGGACATCTAAATTTAAAACTCCCAACCCTCCTTAGTCTTTCGGAGTACAAACTACCTCCCACTTAGTCAACCTATACTTTTTCTTGTGGTCATCACTCTGCCAGAAAAACCGTGACCTGAAGTAATTAGCTTCTTCAGAACCCCTCTAGGTACTTCAAAAAAGGAAAGCATGAGCATGGGGAGACTACTCAAAACAGAATTAATCAAAACCAACCTCCCTTCCACCAACATCTTACTTCTCCAACAGTTCATTTTTTTGAAATCTTTCTTCGACGTGTTTCCAATCCTTATTCATGAGTTTTCTATGGTGCATAAGAATTCCTAGATAATGAAAGGGATACGACCCCATATCACACCCAAAAATGTGTGTATTCAATTTGTCTAGCTCTGGCTGCCCGTAGCAAAACATCTCACTTTTATGGAAATTGATCTTGAGTCCTAGTAACTGTTCAAAAGTACAAAGTAAAAGCTTCATGTTTTTGACCCTCTCTATATCATTATCCATAAAGATGACAGTGTCATCTAGGATCGAGAGTCCCTCATCTACCAAATGCGGAACAACCCCTTGGATTTGTCCCATCTCTTTGGCTCGTGAAATAAGGACAACCAACATATCAACCACTATATTAAACAAAATCGGAGATAACGGATCCCCTGCCGTACTCCTTTCCTAGTTTGAAAGAAATGTCATATATTATCATTGACCTTTACTGCAACACTCCCTCTAGTCATGACTTTTGAAATCCATTCACACCAACTTGGTGAGAATCCTTTCATCCTGAGAACCTGCTGCACAAAAGGCTTCATCCTGAGAACCTGCTGCACAAAAGGCCACTTTAATTTGTCGTATGCCTTTTCAAAGTCTAGTTTTAGTATCACTCCAACCTATTTTTTCCTATGCAATTCATGGATTTTTTCATGCAAGATAACAACTCCTTCCATGATATAGCGATCCAGAATAAAGGTTGTCTGCGAAGGTGCTATCAGCTAGTCTGAACTCAAGCGCTCGTTTGTCTCGTTCAGACCTGCATTGATCTGATCTCATGATCTCCCTGTTTAACCAACCCTGTCTCGTCAGTTTCTTCCATATACATGCACATACTTTGTATGCATTAATTTCCAACAAAGCAACATGTCAATCAAAGATTATATATTCCATGTCCCAAAATCCACAACTGACATATTCCAAGATCCTTTTGCGGTATACGAGGGCCTCTTTGGAAAGTATGAATTTTGCGAAGATCATTCTATAATTTTATAGAAATTATTTCATTTTACATGAAATAATTCCGCGTTTTAAAGGGGCCTACATCGTTGTCTTTGAGTAGACCACAAGCATCTTCGTTTGTTCCCATCTTTTTTTTGCTGATTATATTGCTACTATGCACACTAAAAATATTTGAAAGATGCAGTTTGTGAGTTCTTTGCACTGGCAATATGGAAGTTCAGTATTGCTCTAGACATGACTGAGTGATAGGCTCCAACAACAATACTTTGTTTGAAAAAAAGAGTTCTTTCAGTTTTATGCCATTAGTCAGCAGGTCATTCTGTCAAACTACACTCTGAACTGTTGTGCTGTATATTTCTATGGTCCTAAAACACTCTGAACTTTTGTGCTATACTAGGTGGAGCCCCGCGCTTCGGTGTGGGCAGGTGAATAATGATTTTCTGTTGTACGGAATAGAGCGTGTATAATTTTGCCTCTGCATTGAATGAAGGCTGTGTAGAGAGCTAACCTGGCGGTGAAGGCAAATGGTGGTGCCAAGGGAAAAAGAAATTTGAAAGCATTATATAGATAGTGCAGAACAGGTCGTGTTGACATGTTAGTATATGGATGACGAAATGAAGACGCAAATATCAGAGGCACGTAGTAGCGTCAAATAAGCTGAGTAGAGCATTACAATAGGTATGTCCTGCCATGGTTAGTATGCAGACGGCAGATGCAGGTCTGCAGCACCTATCTGCATTCTACAGCAGGGATGCTAAAAACAGACTGCAGATGATAACAACTAAGGCACAATATGGAGGTATTTTTTTTATCCTCTGGGTACATCATCTCAGTGTAGGAAGCAAGATCTGTAGTTAGGAGAATTTTTTTTTTTGTTCCAAAGGCATGAGTAAATCTCTTGAAGCACAAATAAATCTAAAAACTATAACAACAAAGTAATATACCTGGAGGCTGAGCAGACAGGCGACGGCGCACCGAGCGTTGCGACGGCATGTGGAAAGTTACAGGGAAGTCATCAGGGACATCTTGCACGGCAGTTCGATTAGGTGTGAAGTTAATAAGATGGGGAAAAGTCACGGTTGTAAAGGAAGGAAAAGCAGGTGCATGGAACGCACATATAGGATACTACTTTACTAACCAGGAACTGAGGAAGCAGCTGGATGGCCGCGCCTGCGATTAGGTGCCGCGGGTGGCATCACGCACGAGTGATGGTGGGAACTGCGGACAGGAAACAGAGAGAGCTGAGGAAGACCCATAAATGGATGACCATAGAATGGAGATAGGCTTACACACTGGGGAGCGGAGTCATATCAAAGTCTGTATCTCATATGCATCTCATACTGGGAAACTAAATTTGTGAATAGGGAAGTACCTGACTGACTAAAGCATCCGCTCCCCTGAGACGGGGCAGCCGCGGGACTGCCGGGCCGTGCCAGCCGCCGCCGGAGCGTGTGACTGATTAAAGCATCCGCTCCACTGAGACGTGGTTAGCCGCAGTATTGCCGGGCCGTGGCTGCTGCCGCCGGAGCGTGAAAGCAGGACCCGCGCACTTGGGGAGGAGTAAATCGTCGACCTGAACGACGGCCCGCGCGGCGGAGCGATGAAGCGCGACGGCACGGAGGGCCGACGCCGCCGGCGAAGCTGTCGAGGAGAGGGAGGATCGCCGGAGCGCTGAAGCGCGACGGCAGGGAGGACGGACGCCGCGAGCGGAGCTGTCGAGGAGAGGGAGGATACGGAAGCGGCGCGCGCGACGAGATGGGGGCAGCGGGTGCGGCGGCCAGGTGGGGTCGGAGTCGACGCGGACAGGAGACGAAGGAGCTGGAAGGCTGGATGGGGCTGGCGCTGCGAATCGGAGGGCCTGGCGAGGCCATGATGCTGTAGTACTGTAGGAACGCAGAGCCGTTGGCACATGGATCGGACGGGCAGGAACCTATGAGCGGGCTGTAGACGGTGGTGCTGTCCCAGAATCTAAAGATTTGGGTGATATTTCTCTGGCCCTGAAAAAATAGGCAACATATTTCCATCACATCAATTTTACCATTTATAAATGAAAAGCATTAAATGTAGGTAAAAAAAATAATTAATTAGGGTTTTTGAAAAAGTGTGAATTTTGAGGCTTGGTTGGTCCAATTATTGAACAATATTTACCAATCCTCTCCCTCCCACTTATTCATCGGGTTGAAATTTTTTTCAATCTAACCAAGGCCTTGTATGATATTTCTCTGGCCCTGAAAAAACAGCCTCTGCTGTAGCGATCCAAGTTTTGTGCAAACATTAAGTTTTGTCCAAGATGGAGAGGACGACACCGTGAGCTACAAAAGTCTTCTATTTGAGCCACAAGGTTCGTATCAACCGTTCGATCAGATAGCGGACGGTTGAGGAACTGCACACGAATTCAGCATCTCAGCAAGTAGACATTTATAACTTGGAGCCATATATTTTTTTAACTGATTTTACAAGCAAAATTATTCGGCGATTACAACTGGCCTAGGACATATCTTCAGATGACAGTGCCAAGACATGTTCTGTCCAGTCCTAGTTAAGTGAATTTCAAGCACAATTCCGTATCTTCAGATTTTATTATTTTCTAAGTAGCAAGATCCACCTGATCAGTGCATGTCAAGCACACTTATTTAATCTGGCTACCACACATATACGTATTGTTCTTGTAGTGAGTGAAGCTTGTAAACAGCAGTGTTCATCGGGCTGATTGCGCCTACATGTTCTCCTTCACAACCGTCACAGGGCAGGCCGCGTGGTTCACAATATAGGTGCTCACGCTCCCCATCAGAGCCCTGCGTTCAGGCAACAACAGCAGCTGTTCGTAAGGAGACTGGTACCGCGCTAGGGCAAGGTCAACCTTGAACACAATCTTGAGTGCAGGAAGGTTTGAGATCATAAAATTCAGAAAATACAAGCTTTGCATGTTTACCTCTTGAGCGTGCTTAGTCCTCTGCTCCCGATAACCATGCAGCTAAGGGAAGCCAGGTCAACTGCTTCATAGAGCTTCTTTGCAGGGTCACCATAGAATATCTTTGCAAAGACTTCAATCTGCGGTTATGTGGTTTCAACAGCTAAGCAATCGGCTCACCCCAATAGCAACTTCCAGAAGGAATTGAGTACTGAAAAATTGTGAACGGAACGAGCCATGACCCATACCCCTCTTTGATTTGTCACTTGAGTGAGGATCTCAATTGACTCCTTGTCCGGTGATACACCATATGTCCTGGTGACATCATGAGAACTCGGCCAGAGGGATGAGTGCTGCAACACAAAAGAATGTACAACTAGGATAAATTCACACTGCCAACAGAAACGGGTAATATTCAAGTCCTGCCTTTGTGGGACACATCAAATCTACTTGAAACGAAGCAAGAACAGAGAAGAAGAGGCGTCAGTACTCACGGGAACCACTCTGCTCCCAGAGATGAACAGAGCCCTGCTCATTCTGATAGGAATTGTTCACATGGATGAGTATGAGTTTATCACCGTTCCTGGCAAGGTTCGTTGATGCCCATCGTAGAGCTGCTTTGCTGCATGATGAGAAGTCCACTGCGACTCCAATGTTCCTCCCAGCCATCTCCCTCCCAACTAATTAGGAACAGCCAACAGGCTACAAATTTCCAAACTAGTATGCCTGATAAAAAAGGCAATGAAAGTTGGCAATGCAGTTTCAGATATGGTATTCACTGCTGCTGGCCAGGTCCTTATATAAACAGATAAATGCAACTTGGAAATACCAGACAAAAGGAGACAGAAGGAGAAATACCGACGTTACCTTTCTTTACTTTTCCCAAAATTCCTTTCCCATTTCAAATGAATGATCTTTATGCCTTGGTTTCCTTTACGCGATTCCTTATCATCACTTTAGCTGCCTAGAAAACATGTTAGAATGCTGGCTTCCGTGAATGAATGAAGCTGACTATAACAGTTAGCAAAGTCAAGATTCATGATGCAAAGCAACAAAGTGGCAACGAGAATGTTATTCCAGTTTTTCCATACAACTATCGGTGCAATTACAGATTCTACCAAATCGATTTACTGAAGAAACATCACCCACAAGGGGGGAGTAGTCATCAAGAGCGTAACTATGATGTAATACTGATCATGACCAAAAGATGAAGCATCTCAAAAGCCATTTAAAAAGGAATAAACTATAACGAGATGCTGCCAATTCTGATGAAATGAGAGCTAAGGACTACAATTGATTATTATTTCAATAATTCTGTTTCAAGTGACTGACTAATAGCAACACGCTAGTAGCAGGAAGAAAACTAACGGATGGAACCATGGCTTGTTCATTATAACCACGTCCTTGTTTACAGAACCTAAACTTAGAGAAGCCATCCTTTGGCAATTGTAAGGCAAACACACCCAGGACAAAATGTGCTAGATGACAAGAAATAGGTCTTCCAAGTAGAATTGCATTGCACCCTTTGAGAAATAGCACCAGTCACCAGGTTCCACACTTCCATTATATTCTTGCAAAATACTTTCATAAAATCATTGGACATCACCGTTTTTTAAAAAAAAAAAAAAGCAATACAGGTCCCCTACTGAAAAGTCGATTCTCTAAGTACCTACTGGTCAGTTAGAAATGATTGAAAATATATGCTATTCAGCACCAGATGGTTAACTTGCTCTTCAGAACTAAAATATATTCTACACCGGCTCTTTCCGCTTGAATGACACACGGTAGAACCACCAGCTCCCCAGCATTCCAATGAGATGCAGCACCCTCCCGTCTGCTAATTCAACGGTTCCAATTGAAAAAAACTTGTAATCTTCAGTATTAACATTTCTTGTACGCATGTACTGCAGAAAAATACACAATGTTTAGTTCAAATAACTAAGCACATAAAGGAGCATACTAAGAGAGGAAAGAAAATAGAAATTTGAATATTGATGTGGATGTGTGTCACTCTATTGGTATAATAGATAATTGCTTCAATAAAATCCATATTTGCAATTATTAAGTCATAATTCAAACAAATATCCAAAAAATGGACTCGCTAAAATGTAAGAAGCAGAACTCAACCAAATACTACGTCTAACTAATAAAAGATTTAACTTTGAATTCTCCATTTTTAAGTGTGCTGCAGTGGAACGCATGGAAAGAACTGCAAGCATACAGTTCAACGGGAAAAAAAGGCACATGAGCCTTAGTCTAATGGTTTAACTACTGGGTCTGTAGTTGATATTTGCCACGGTGTAGTTGCACTAAAACATTATGTCAGCTTATCAAATCATCACTATATCGCTATACAGGAAAATGATCTCAAATCTCGGGGGAAATCATTTAACATCTCTAATCCTAAAGCAGCCGAGACAGTTCATGTTCAAGTAAAAAAAAAGAAAAGAAAAGGTACACAAAGGTGGCATAAAGAATCTCCCAGACATTATAACTTTGTGATTCTTCATGAGGGACAGAGTTCTTGGAGCTTTTATACTTATGCCTAAAATACAGTAAGGAACTACCTTAAATACTTACAGAGGTGTGCCAAAAGGACCCAAACTTTGTCCGAGGGAAAAAAAGAGCACCCAAAACACAAAATTGACGAGAGTAAAACACTGAATGACTGAATCCCCAAAGGCCCAAACTTTGTTGATACAAGGTTAGCATACCATTGATTGGGATACTAAGAAATAATCTAAAACATTTGCCGTAAAAAAAAAAAGATAATCTAAATCTAAAACAGACCCAAAGCTTTCAGGAATGTGATAATTTTTTAATCCTTTGTATAAGGTTTTTTTTATTTTTATTTTTTATTTTTATGGTTAAGCTTAGCGGTAGGATTGCCCCTCAAAACCATTTCTCTAAAGGTTATAGGATAGGAGCACATCCATACGGATAGTGACCTTGACAAACTTGATATGGTGATTTTATTAATTGGTTTGAAACAAAAAAAAAATGTCAGCCTTCTTTGATCCTTGGGGCTGATGGGACGTTTAAGGATTATGTAAACTGTAAAAAAGGGTTATGCGAGTGAAAGTTACTACCATATTGAAAGCATTTCAGAATCTGAATGAGATGAGACCGACGTAGAACTACTGTAGATCCAATTTAAATTGCAAGCATCCACTAGACCGCTAAGACCTAAAGGAGAAATAAACAAATATGCACAAAACTCACCTCCTCCTTCGACACAGCATGGTTTTGACCCATCTCCCTATGACGAAGCTGAAATAATTAATGGTATATTAGTTAGAAAGAAAAAAAGACAGACTGCCCTCCTTTGAGTCAACTCTTGCATGGCATGATGAAATATGAAACATCATACCATGTTGAGAAACACAAAACAGTACTTGCATACATATTTACTCATAAAATAACATACACATTTTACTAACCTCCTGAAGAAACAAATATATTGAATAACGGCTAGGTCTCGAGCAGTAGATGAGAAGCAAAATATTTAGGGCGAGACCTAACGGGCTGTGCAACCCAGACATAATCAGAAAAATCAATCCAACTGGCAGCTGAAGTTTCCTGACCAAAGGCCAAAATGAAGGCCCAAGCTCGGTTTTCAAAGATCCTGGGGGTGGTCCAGCTATGGCTTTTGATGGTTGCTCTGTGAAACCAAATTAGAAAAAGAAACACCATTCATTAGGGAAAACCAGAAAAAAAAACTAAAATCAAGAACATTAACATCCAGTTTTTCTATCAATGTTCAACAGAAAAAGGTTCTACAGGTCTGAATGAAAACTAGTTATCAGCAGCTAAGCTAGGGATAAGTCTGTACAATAGAAATAAACCAGATTAAAGGACCAGTCAACATGAATAAACTGATTTTAAGAGTTAGGGCTTGAAGTCCTTGACTAATTAAACTGGACCAGTCCATAAGCCCAGTTATTTTCCCAAACATTGTAAAGTTTAAGCAACAAGTAGTCCTTGACTATGTTTAAGAAACCAGTTATTTTTCCCAAATGTTGTGGATTTTGAATTTTGCACAACATTTAGGTGCTAGCACTACAATCATGTGTTAGAAAAATGTTGTTGCTATGAGTCCATGAGCCTTTGTATGCTATTAACCACTCATTGAGATCATTTTATGTGTTTTTGTGGGGCAGTGAAAAGAAAACCTGTACTTCAAATTATTTTCAATGTATTTAGAGGGAGAATTTCACCTTTTGTGGCAGCAGTAACCTGTCCCTGATGAAGCGTCATCGTTAGCATGGTGCTTGTTCCAAATCCTTTGATCAGATTGAGGCCTACAGAAAAATAATACACCAAATCATTAAGAGTTAGCCCATGGAACTGTCAGTCTAGAAGTCTAGGGACAAAATAATACTACTGCTCCCTCCATCCGTAATAAATCAATTCTTAGAGTTGTCGGTAAATCAGTAAAGTAAGCATATACTACTACAAAGCAAGCATATACTAAATCGGTAAAGTATTTTGCTGAATGCACAAATAATCCACATAATTTCCAACCAGATTCATGATCGATAATAAACGGCATACTGTTAGATTGATCTCCACCCGGCTCGGTCCAACGACCGAGTCGGACCCTGACTCGCACCTTGATCGGGGGCGCCCAACCGTTCTCCTGGCTGGTGGGCCCCCGTCGCGCAGCGCTATGAATAGGAGGTGGGGGCTGGGGCTCGAAACACGAGGTTCACAGCGGCCACCAGTTCCCACCGACATCCTAACCCTAGTCCTAGTCCGATCGAGAGGGCGCGCTGTGAGCGACGGGAAGCTCCACTGCTTTCGCCGCCGCCACTGGACCGCGCCTCCACTGCGCCTTCGACACCGCCGCCGGACTCCACTGCTACCCTACACCAACACCCGTGTCATCAACACCTACGTCATGGCTTCCTCCTCCGATCAAGCCCACCGATGGTCTGCCTCTCTACATCCCTCTCTCTCCCTCTAGTTCTCTCTCGAGGACGAACTACTTGTTTATCACGAATAGAAGAGAAAAACCCCACTGATCTACGCCTAGATGATCCTAGAACTCTATCACATACTACTAATGTCGAGTGAGACAAACATGGCGCACGATCGTAGGTGTCACCTACTCACCTGACAACTGCGGCCGGAGACCAAGGGCCACTCTCGCGGCGAGCGAAGGCCCGAACTCGGCAGCGCGAGGCTGGAAAGTGGGGTTCGAATAGCGCGCGAGTAACTGGCGAATAGGGCTGGCGGCGACTGGTGCGCGGGAGGAGCAGGAGGCAGCGGCGGCGGAGGAAGAGGAGAAGGCTTGCGTGGAGGCGGTGGGCGCGGTGGCGGCGCCTCGCCGGAGCGAGGCCGCGACGGCCTCCCTCGCCAGCCGCCGACACGCCATCATCATGCGTGGCCTCTCTCGCGTAGCTTGTTGCCGTGTCTCGTCCTCCCGTGCGCGGAGCGGAAGGGGAAGTAGAGCGAGCGGCTTCGCTTCGGGGAGTCGGAACGGAGGCGGAGGCGAAGGCCAAGAGATTAGGGCCGCGTTGGGCTTAGCCGACTCCGTCTCGTTCTCGTTCGTCGAGAGAGATTAGGGCCCGGTTGACCGAACCGTTCAGCTAGTTCTCGGACTTTCTGGGCCCTTGTGTAGACCTGCCTTGGCCGCCGCCGCCGGCCGTGTCGATTCATCCGCTGGCCGCTGCGAGTCCCTCGTATCTCACCGCCGACGCCGTCCTCTCCCCTATCGCCTCGCGCGCTCCCCGCCGCCCCTTCGACCTCCATCTGCTGCCTCGCAGCGTTGTCTCCCGATGTCGTTCCGAGGCCGTGGAAGAGGGGGCCGCGGGAGAGGTGGGGGCTTCGGGTACGACCACCCGGCCAAGCACGCGCCGCACGAGGACTTCCCGGTCAGTCTCCGCTCCACCCCCACCCTCCGCCCCGACCTTGCATTGCGTGGTGCGGTAGAACTGATGTGCTGCGTGCTTGCAAAATCTAACACTTGAACAGGACATCACCCTGCCAGAGATGAAGTGCGCCAAGGCGAGCAATGAGGAGAAGGCGCTGATTGTGTCCACCTTGAAACTCGAGGAGTTCTGGAGGAGTTCCTGCTACTACCTGGAGGAGGATGCTCCCAAGAAAAGTACTAGGGCTGAACCTATCACGGTTTTTCTTTTTGTTCATTTTATTTACTGATTCTTCGTAATGGTAGTGCTCCTTATCTTCGGTTCTGCTGCTTGCTTGCTCGGAAGTCAAGATTTCCTTTAAACCTGTTGGGTAGCCAATCGATCCTGTAAATTATTTTGGAGGCAGAAACTTAGTTTCTTTCAAGTAATTGGTCCAGAAATTAGGAGGAAGCCTCAAATAAATTGTCGTGAAGCTGTCAAACTTGGTTTACCTATGTAGTAGGCAACAAGTCTCGAAAATTGTTCATAGATCAGTCAATTCAGTCTTTGGTGAAAGCACGTTATGCTTTGTTCGGCTAAGTAAATGATCAAATAATTGACAATAAACAGTGTTGTTTGGAAAGTACTTTTGCACTGCTACCGTTTGAAAGAGCCCCTATATTATTGTGTCCTTTTATTTTGGTTTTTTATATCCATTTTTCCAAAAAAAATCATCTGCATTGCCAGTTTTGTGACCTTACTGTACTAGCTGTTACTCTTTGGATTATGTTACTATAGAATGAGAAACTTGTAGAAACGATTTTGCAAACTCATAAAAGCATCTTTGTTTCATTACTAGCGTCTTTTACTTTGTTCTGTTAATTAATTTTTAAGCATTCTTCTTTTGTCATACTTTTTTTGCATTAGTATTTTCCAGCTTTATTTTGATAATTTGTGTTTTTACCTTAATTATCTTATGATTTCATCTGTTGCCAGAGAATGAAGACAAAGATATTGAAAGATTTTCTGATAGGAAACGTAAGACACAAAGCAAACGTGAAGCTCTTTCGTTATATCTCAAACTGACTCCTTCAAATTTCCCTGCTGAACTGGTGCAAGGTAGTCTTGACTCTTGAACTCATTTGTATGCAGTGTAATTTATTGTCAGCTCTATGTTTTCAGCATAATTACCATGATATTTTGTTCCTTTCAGGATCTAGAACAGGGCAGGCAAGCAACAAGAAGCTCCGGTGGGATAAGGATTCAGGTTTTTACTTCTTCATGAAATTATCTGCTTTTCTCAACTCTATTCCCTGTTGGGTAGCACGAAGAACTGAAGGGAACACTTGCTACTGCTAGATGTACTTAGCTATACTTCAACTTTTTTTACTTGGATTGTGCTTTTGTGTTTGACAGATGAAAAGGCATTTGAAGTATTTGAGAAGCTTGAACAAAAGCACAAGGCAAGAGCCTCACCTTGTCTTTTTATTTTTCAAATTCTAGTTTGGGCTCATATAAGGTTCGCTTGGTGAGCATGTTTGAATTTTGCTTGTATTATTGCTGGTTTGGAGTTTGAGCTATGTTTCTCATCATCATACTATCGTGCGTGCCGAAATGTTAACATGAAAAGTATGCGGCTTTATTTTTCTACTATTTTTGTAGGCTATCATCTTCTACCATATTAACTTCTCCTTGGTTGTAGGATGGAAGCAAGGTGGAGAAGGAAGGTGATGACGAGGATGAGCAGGAAGAGGAAGAAGTACAAGAGGAGGAGGAAAATTCAGACGATGACTATAATCAAGTACTTACCACTGAACTGAAATTGTTTGCTCGGGTTTCTGTGATTTAGGATAAGGCATCTGTTTTGTAGCTTACGAGTAGGTGATTATTATATGTATCTCACTCTGGTGCCTCCAACTTTGCCCTGTAGAATATCGAGTTTGATGACGATGACGATGACTGGAACCAAGAGGAAGAAGCACGTAAGTTTCCATTTGAACTTCTATTCGTATGACTTTTTTAACCTTTTCTTTCTCAAAATCGAACTCTTGCTCATTTATATACTTTATTAAAAATAACTGTTTTCTTTGGCAGAGGAAGACTTCTACGATTAAGTGTGGATGGGAAGATTTTACTCCCTTGTTCCTCTCCTTTTCACTTGTAACTTCACCAAGCAAAATTATTAGAGAGCAATCTTTGTTCTGGTATTTCTTGTCACGATGGTCACGTGCTTTGTTAGAAACTCAAGAATATAAGAACAGTGAAATACGCCGTTGCTAACTTTTTCTGTTGCATTACGTATGTCTGCAAACAGCCACTAATATGCGATGGAGTGTGCTCCCTCGGTCAAAATAGAGTGAGTGCACATCTTGCCTTTTTAAGTAAGGCAAAATTGGCTACAGGACATTGAAAGTCACCTTTTTTTTGTTAGCGGACATAAAAAATAAAGCAAAGTTTGCTGTTGGGTACTCTGTTTGTCAAATTTTGCTGGTGGACATGACATCGCGTTTTAATCAAAAATATTTTTGCCCTTTTTTTTGGTTTAGGACGAGAGAAAATTGTGGTAAAATGTCCTTGTCCGATTACTCTAATTATGATTTTGTCTCTATTTTTTAACTTTCTTGTTCTGTTCTTGTTATTTTTTTGAATTGTCCATACCCGCCTTTGGATGGCTACCCTCCATCACCGGATGTCCATTGAATAGAGAATTAAAAAATTTCAAACTTAGAAAAGAAAAGTGCAAATGCCAAAGTGCCCCTTATCCTTTTGGTAGTTTCTCGGGCCACGACATCGGAGCAGAGGATGTTGCTGGCCGTAGGCTCAGAGCATTGCGGGGCCATGGCGCGGAAGCCATGCGCCATGCAGGCCATGGAGTGGAGACCATGTGGGTTCGCTGGCTGCAGGGACTTTCGGCTGGCATGGCGGCGAGTCTCCCTTTCTCTCTCTCCCGGCTCACGCTTGCGGCTCGGGCGCGGCGGCGAGCGACAGTGCGTAGTGATCGATAGCGCCGGTGCTCCACGATTGCCGCGCCTCGCCCGAATCGATCGAGTCGGCCGTGGGCCTAGGGTTTCGAGCGCTCCTGCTATGGTGGCGCTCGCTCGCCCTCCCCTGGATGACCCGCCGGCGCCGGCGTCTCTCTCTCCGTGATGCGCGCGATCGAGGCTCGTCATCTCCATCCCCCTCTCTCGGTCCCCCGGCCTCCGGATGGGCGGACAGATCGGGATGCGCGCCGAGGGACACGACGGCGCCGTCGTCTCGATTATGCTGTTCAACCCTCTAGATGTCGCGAAAGGCCACGCCCGGGGCACTCACTCCCACGCTCGCGAGACTCTCCTCCTCCGGAGAGTGTTTGTGTCGCGCGCCCGCCGTGAGGCAGCGGTGGAGCGTGTGCTCGCGCGGCGACGAGGTTGCGTGCCGCGAGGTAGGTCTTGGTACCACTGCCGCCCGGATGGCGGCGCTTGGTGTGGAAGACGGAGACCTCGCAGGCGTGGTTTGAATTTGTAAGGCTTAATCGATTGGGCGACCGCGCCGAGTGCTGCGTGTAGGTTTTGTATTTTGGGTGACTAGATCGGTGAGGAATCCAAAATGGAGCTTGTGTTTATAGATGTCTATGTGTAGTCTTTGGGCTGTTTGTCATGGTCCCCTGTGGGATTGGGCAAGTCGGTGGTGTGATCCAAATGTTTGTAGCTATGTTCATCTGGCGCCTATTGCTTGCTTTTGCTTGTTTGGCATGCAAATTTCAGGACGTTTTGTTATTTTCATGCTTGGGCGGGAAGGCGGGTAAGGAATGACATAGATTGGTTTATGTTTGTGCTAGTGATCGTGGGCTGCTCAACCAAGCTGAACCGTGGGTGCATTGCGTAGACTCTTCTTAGTTTATGTCCTTCAGCCGCTTGTTCAACAAGCGAGGTTTCCGTTGTTCGTGGGGGTGTGCAATAACGCGAGGGGTGTTCAGTTATTGCACAATGTGGGATTTGGCTGCATTTTGTTACTTTTTGGTAGATATCTGATTATGCTATTTATCTTGTTATAAGACCACTTGGGGTACTAAAGTAGTGTTTGATTGTTTAGGATGATGCAACCAATTTGAGGACTTGTGTGTGTAGACAACCCATTTTTTAGTTGATATAGATGGTGCTGATTTCTTAGTTAAAGCTATCGTCTTTGATGACCTCGCTTGTTTTTATTGGAAAACTGCAATGCCTTTTATGTTACAACAAAATTTCATTTCTAAAAATGCACTGCCATGAGTGGTCAGTTGGAAGTCCAATTCCAAAACCCTCAAACTAGTGTATTAGACTTGAGAAAGCGATGGAGTGAAGAAGAAGAAGAGAGATGCACAAAATCTCATTTCACCGTTTGTCCTCCCTGATTGCTTTCTCTCTCCTTCCAAACCAATAATGTAATATTTTATTGTACTTATTTGTGTCTATCAACAAATTTGGAAGAAGCTAGAGTGTCTCACCTTGAATGAGATGAATGTAGCTTTTGTGCACATGTTTACGCTTTTTCTTTTTATTTTGATGTCAGCTTGCTTTTGTGGACAGTGACAAGAGAGGTCATATATTTTTTTCTCTTGGACACGTTGACATGTCAGTATGGTAGACTTTGAAATGTTGTGGTTCTCCATGATTTTTCTTAATTTTGCCTTTAACTAGTTATTAACCAATTTCAAGTTTGACAAAAAATACAAAATAAAAACAGTAAAGTCCTGAATCCCTCTAAATTAATCACTGAATTTCGGAAAAGCCTTGAACTTGAATACCAGACAACAAACACACTTTGACTTTTTAAATCGGATAAAATACTCATCTTGACCATTTTTAAGTGGTTTACTGGGTGGTTTTGCTGCCCACGGCCCACCTATCACATGGTCTGTCTCTGTCTTATAACAAAAGCCATAACTATTTCACATGAAATCACATAAATACAAACTTTCAAAATTATAGAGCTCAACATGATCTACAACTTGTAATTGATAATTTTTTTTATTTAAAATATTTTGGAGGATCAAATGTTTGTTTTAAGTTACTAGATTTTAAAAAAAATCAAAAAATTATTTTTTTCAAACAACCTCGGATGACCAAAGTTGTAGTTCCTAGTAAGATATACAACTTTGTAATTGACAACTTTTTCACATAAGATTATTTAGAGGACTAAATATTCATTTTAATTTCTCTAGTTTTGAAATTTATTTATTTTTTAATTTTCAAATAACCTCATATGTTGACATGGTCTACTGGGTTTAAAAAAATGTTGACATGGTCTACACCAAAGGCAGTTGTCCTCAATATGTCCTCTAAAGTTATAGTTGAAAAACTTTTATCTAACGTTATTTAGAGACCTAAATATTCGTTTTAAGCTCTCTAGTTTTTGGCCCAAAAATTGAATTTTAAAATCTAAATAATCGCTCTTGAAGATGTTCTTTCCTAAGAATCTATGGTTCTCTAAATGAGAATTTAGAGACAAAGTTAAAGGAAGACTCTTAGAGACAGAAGCGGAGCTTAGTTAAGATAAAAATGGCCATTGTCTCACTGTCAAAGATATTTTGCACTAAGCAAACAGTATATATGGTACTGTTCATTGTTGTTTACAGCATAGTTATGCATATTGGGCCCTCCTGATTTCTTGGTCGAGCACCCAAGCTCTATCTCTGCTTGGAGCTGCTATGGGTCTGTTTGGTTGAGTGGCTTAGTCAAATGACCTCGGATGACCAAAGTTGTAGCTTCCTAGATGCACTTTTTACATGTTTGATTATTTGCCTAAATTTCATGCTCTAGTTTTGGCTTAGGTAATGCAACTAGACCCCCTTAGACATGGTCTCAATCGTGATTCATATGGTCTACATCCAAACCCAAAATGAGTAGTTGGAGATTCAAAATCGTTGTTTAGAGACCTAAATAGTTTTAAGCTCTCTAGTTTTTGGGAGGAAATTTGAATTTTTCTAAAGGTTGTCTTGAAGATGTTCCCTAAGAATCTATGGTTCTCAAATGAGAATTTAGAGACAAAGTATCATCTTTCTTAGAGAAAACATATTTAAGATAAAATGGCCATGGTCTCACTTTTTACCAAGTAAACAGTATTGTTGTTGAAGAAAATATCGAATGGTTATTGAATCATTGGACTGTAGCGCCAAACGTTGAATGAGTCTTTTAATTTTGATGTTGTCGTTGGAGACCGTCTTAGCCAGGCTTCCTGAAAACGCGGCGGGTGGCCGTTCCCCAGAAGCCAGGCTTGGTTAAGCAGTCCGTAGCGTCGGGGAAGAATCGCGTCACCTCCCTACGAGCGGCGCTCCTCTCCCCGGTGTTCGTTGACACCGTCGGCCGTCCTCTGCACGAGCGCGAGCTGTGGCGGCGTCGGTGGATGCGGCCCCGGAGCCGGACGCGGTTGCGGTGCTCCTGTCCCCCGCGTTCCTCGATGCCGTCGGCTGTCCTCCACGCGAGCGCGAGTTGTGGCGACGCTGGCGGCTGCGGCCCCGGAGCCCGACGCGGTTGCAGCGGATGCGACCCTGGAGTCCGACGCGGATGCGGCACTCGTCGAAGGCAGGATCCTCATCACCGCATCCTCGCTTCGAGCAGGTCCATGGCTTCCTCGTCGAAGGCACGATTCGCTGCGGAGGTCCGATTCCACTTCAGGATCCTCATCACCTCATTGCTGTGGAGGTCCAGGTCCTGATGCGGATGCTGTCTCCTTCAGGCAGCGAATCCATGGCTTCCTCACTGGTCCGATGCAGTGACGGTATCGCTTGCAGGGCACCATGATTGGTGGCGAGCACTACCTGCTCGGTGAAATGACAACGTGGATAGATGGGCGGTGATGAAGCTAAAAATCACACACAGAAGAGAAGGTGATTCTACTAGAACATACAGCCAACCAAACAAAATTTTAGATAGCCTGGCTAAGGCCTGTTCGGTAGGATTGAAAAATACTGTTCCGGCTGTTGTCGTGAGAGAAAAATACTGTTCTAGTATGATGTAAATAGTGATTTCGTAAGTTACAGAGCCAGCCAGCCGAACGCTTTATGCACAGGCAAACCAAACACGTGGCTATTGTATTGCTTTATGCAGGCTTGGACTAGTCAGGCTTAATTTGCTAGCCAGGCTCCACAAAAAAC